GCCGCCAGGTGCATTGTGTTTCACAAACACATCTTGTACATTCATGCACTTCTTTTCCATAACTTATACAATCACCTTACCTTGCTTTTTACATATGTTTTCATTACATCCCATGCTGTCTTGGAAACTGCATCTCCAAATTCTTTTTCAAAATTTTCTTCCAATGGAGATCTTAATTGTATAAAATTAAGGCCAAACAAAAAAATATCTTTGTTTACTGTTACATGCTGAAATAAAATAGGGTCGGTAGGTAGGATTTTTTTTTTTATTTTATTGAATTTTTTTATACAAAAATTCACATGAATTGGTTGAATTACAAAACAGTTTTACCATTGTACGGTGCCTTACTTTTGTTTGGGCTTGTAATATAAGTAATATAAGTGGTAGACAATTTAATCTTTCTTGACAACTGCCTTACAACTCAGGGGTGTGCAATTGAAAAAAATCAAGTACTAGCCCACAGGCTTGTAACAGCAATAAAATATATGTTACTAGCCCGAAGTTAAAAGTGACCAGCAAAAAATTGTAAAAACTAATATTGTAAAAAGTTCATTGTTGAGAAAGTCAGGGTCCTAAGCCATTCCTTTTAAAGTTGAAGTTTAAAAATTTTATGAAATTATCTTTTCTTTTCTGAACCTCTGTCTAAACATATTAAATGCACTAGTCTAACTTATCTAAAATGAAGCAAAAATTATTTTATTTTCATTTCAAACCACTAAATACAATTGATATATATTCAAGTTTAACCACATGACACTTAGCTATCAGTTGATTGGGGGATCGTAAATAATTGAAAGAGATATCTGCATGAATTTGCCATTAACAGAGGAATGGAGGAAATTCCGATTAGGAAAAAACGATCGTTTTTTTAAGTAAATAAGTCAGGTTGTACTGCAAAATGGATAAGATTAAAGTGATTTAAGAACAGCAGGAGCATGCTGCCTGGAAAATTTTCATTAGTTGGAAATTAAATAGCAAAACAGTGAGTGAAAATACCGTTTGTGTTTCTCATGTATTACATGCATAATTTTTATTTTTACTACCCAAAAAACGGTAGCACCAGGCGTCGGGCGATGCTAATTGTACACCCCTGCAACTGCCACGCAATGGTAAGCAAATTACAACGAACTCGTTGATGTAGAAATTGAACTCACTGGTTTTGTTTCTGTACTTTCAATTTCGATTTCAAAGATGAATGTAAAAGTTAAACTGACCGGCCAACTAACTTCCGGATTTTTACGACGAAAAAAAAGTTTGGGTCGGCGATTAAAATTAGGGTCGGTCGGGTAACCGTAAACAAACATATTTTTTTGTTACGCCTAAGGTTAAATTTGATTGGTAAAAATTGCCCACAAAAATATATGATATTGAAATACAGTTAAGTTGTTTTGGATGTGAATATCATGGTACTAAGCATCAGGCATGGAAAAACATATACAGAAATGAGAGGGGGACCTTGTGTGAAAATGAAAAATGGATATTTGTGAAACCATTAAATCTTAAATTAATGAAAGACACAAACACATAAGTAACCAGACGGTTTAGAAACTTTTTTTTCCACATTTAACAAAAGGTACAATATGACCAAAGAAGAATGATTTTTTTTTTTCAGAAACAGAACTGATACCTTCAGTACATTTATTGTGTTCTGTAGCATGGTATGTAATGATGATTCATCTTAACTTGCAGCTTAATGATGGCTTACTGTTCTATGTTCATTCTCCCATTGCATTATTTATATCATTATACTGTAGACGTTCTTTTTTCCATGGTGTCATAATTCAGCGGAATCTCAATTTCCGTTTAATCCGTGGATTGAAAATTATGCAGATTTCTCAGACTGTCACTATATGCCTCACATTTGTATAAAATACGCTTGTACAAATTTGCGGAAAATTTGGAACTCACTTGAGCTTTCAGCTCAGAAGGGCTAATTATCAGGGTATAAAATTTCATATAAAATTCTTCAATCTTTTTGTAAGTGTGAAGCCAAGATAAAAGCATATTGAGGAATAGTAGGGTCAAGGTTAAAGGTCAATATTAGTAAATTGTGATATGGTTGAATAGTTCTCACCACTATGTATCAATGAATAGTTCTCACCATTAGGCAACAATGAAGAAGTTTCATTTTAATGTTTGAAAAATTTGTATACCGGGCCACCTATACAGCAGGATCTTTTATTTTATTGTTGAATCTCCAACAAAAAGATTGAAATTGTGTGAGAGTGAGATTGTAAGGAAAAGCAATTCAAACTGCTTTTCCCGATCGTTGACTTGTTTTGATGCCCTCAAGAGATTGTTAAACAGGCTAGTTGTAATTAACTACAATAATTATTATTTCCGTCATTTAAAAAGGATATTTTCTTCTGTTATTAGTGATAAGACTTTTTTCCGTCTTTCCTCGTCTCCCAAAAACTCTTGCTTCTTTACAGCATAATCCTCAAATCTGGCCTTGACAATTTCTAAGGAATGACTGCAAACAAAAACAGTAGTTATTCAGCAAGTATTCACATTATGCACCAATAGCCATCAAAATCACAAAGAGGACTCAATAAACATGAAGAAGGTTTTACCTTATAAAGGGATGGAGAGTTGGGGTATCCAGAATGACCTTTTTATTCTGATGCTCCCCTCCCTGTAATTAGAGTACATTTTTAATTATTTTGTTGAAGTCTTTATTTTACTATACAATGTAGAAAGACAGTTTTACAAGCGACTGTCCTCTAAATCATTATAAAGAAATCTCAAATCATTATTACAAACTGAGCAGCACTGTGCAGACATTAACAAGCCTTTGAGTTTATCAAAACTGGCCAGAGCTTAATCATCTTATACTACTACATGGGCTACATATAAAGGTTTTGGGAGGTTTTTTTTTATACAAGATGATGTAAACCTACTTTGACCAGACTAAGGTACTCTGCTACGGCTGTCCTGCCGTTCTGGGAAAGTTTCCGTGCCGTTTCATCACACACCCAGCAATGGACTCCACGTCTACCAGAATAAACCCACAGTCGGTGCTCAAATCCAAAATCCTCTGTAAAATTAAAACAGATCCTTTAATTCAGATGATTAATATGAAATAGAACACTTTATATAGGGAAATCGTCACCATTTTATTTTCACCCCTCTTGCCCTACTCAAAGGTGGATGAATTAGAAACAATATGAATTAAAAATTCCGCAAATTCAAGGAACACAGTATATTATTTTTTTTTAAACAGAACCGTCACTGTGACTGAGCAAACTTTAAACAGGGCAAAGTTGTCTGAAAGGGCAAAAATTACTGTGTATACAGTAGTTAACATTACATTTCAGAGAAACAACACAATAGATCAATCATATATACAACAGTTAAAGCTGAACACTACTCGTAAATTCACCATATTCGTTTTCCCATCTCTATTATTAGCTTAGGGTAAGTATGGCTTTGCATTTATATGTTGTATAACATCTCTCAAAAAATTTTCACTCATATGGAGACGATGCCACTTACGGCCATTAAGCAGTGATGGATTTTTTTTGTGCCAGCACCTACTGCGACAGAGGACCTCGGTTTATAGGTCTCATCCGAAGGACCGGTCTCCACATCCCACAGTGGGATTCGAAACCGCGTCACAAGGATCAACTCCTTACTTCGCGACTCTAGAGCTTTAATCACTGTGCCACATGAGCAACTACTTTGCATAGGTTCACCTTACTGTACAACATCTAACAGTCAACTTGCTGAATTTCCTACATTGGCTACATTTACATTTGTTTTTTTTTTTTTTTTTTTTTTTTTTTTTTTTTTTTTTTTTTTTTTTTTTTTGTTTTTTTTTTTTTTACATGGGTACATGCATATTGATAGGCCGTAGTGCATTGACTGGTGAGATTAATGTTACCTTTTCTCTTGATCTGATCAAGTTTTTTTTTTTAATTTTCACCCTGAACAAGTAACAATTACAGTCTTGGACTTGTCCACACCAATGAGATCTCAGAAATGAAATATCTCAAAACTATAAAGGCTTACCGTATATACTCTCCTATAAGTTGTTTTTTTTTGGGAGTTAAACTTTGGTCCAAAACTCTTAGTCTGACTTATAGGCGAGTTATAAAAAGGTTAGTATTTTATAGGGTCAATCCCTCTAAAATAAGCTTAAAATTTGCAACCATCTTATAGGCGAGTATATTGTATGTAGTGGCTGAGGAAATAAAGGAGACATGAAATACGGTGGACAAGGATAAATCTTTTCTTTTTACAACCTGTGTTCAACTTTGACTTCCTATTTGAGAGGAACCACACACAGACAAACCTTCTAAAGCTCGGTCCAAGATTTTTACTGCAATCTGCATCAAGGGCCAACACTTGTCACAAATATCTGCTCCTCTAAACAGGAAATAAAACAACAGGGACTGCGATTAGAATTTATCTTCAGTCATTAAATATATATCAAAAATAAGTAGCAAAATCAAAGACTGCTGATGAAATTTTGAATGTCATGCAGCATTGGTGAACATGTCATAGAGGGCTTAGTTTAACGTCCCTCAGCTAGTTTAAAATAAAGTCTAATAAAATATAAAAAAATACTGTAAAACTAGAGCCGAGCTCGTTGCAAAGCAACGAGTAGGTCTTCCGTTGGAGCTGCGGACAGGAAGTACGACCTTTGGTCAAGGTCACTGCACTTTCTTATGTTAACAACCTTTCTTCCCAGCATGAGCCTCCAGTAAATTTTAATTATAAAGTTATGTTCAAACATTTTTTTCTTTGTCAGTGACCTTGATTTGCCAGAAAGACATTTGATCAGGGTCATGACAAAACCTCCAATCATAAGTAAATATGTTTCAAAAAATGTGTCCAATAATTTTCATTTACTAATTCATAGCGTAGTAAAGAAAATATTTCTTCTGTCAGTGACCTTGATCTTAACAGAATAACCTTGGCTCTGTGTCAAGACAAACACCTTTTAATGATTAGAAGTTCATTACCCTGACAGGAATTTTACAACTTTTCTGTCATTGGCCGATGAAGATGTTTGAAATTTTTGTCTCGCACCATTTTGTCACAGGTCAGAAAAACAACATTGAGGTATTTTAAAACATCACCGGATATTAATATTCAAACAAATGGAGTTTATATTTATGAAAGATAGAAATAAAGTTCATTCCATAATACGTATTTTAGGGTAATAGCTTTATTTTCAATAAAATTAAACTCATAAGTCCACAAATAAAATATCTTTCCTCATTTATTTCAAAGTTTGGATAAAGGGGGTGAGGTACATGGGGATGTCATGTAATACATTCGAGGTTATTATTCTGTTAGACAGGAAGACCCGAGGAGTTGTGATTTGCTGATCATGATCTAAAACACGTTGACAAACCGAAACCACATGGTTTTATACACGTTATTCAATCAATTCATTCATAATTATTTTCCTTGAAGGAGGAATGCATGGATAAAGGATTAAAGAAAATTCCCGATGTACAATAGCATCCGGGCATGGACTTCATTTTAGTACTACATAATGATATTGTGCTTGAATAAAATCATCAAATAAATTAAATTTAAATAGGAAAGGGAGATTATGTTTAATAGAATAAAAATTAGACAATACTTGATACAGGGACTCGCTGGTAAAAACTTGAATGTACTTGAATAAAATGCCTCTCACTCATTTTCTCTCGTACGCGTATTTTTTAAACCAAGGAAAGTAATTTGCGTTAGATATAAGTTCATCATTTTAAAGAAAATACTGAGTTATATACGGTAAACGATACAAATGGTTTGACTTTGGTGCCAGTTATAATTTTAACAGTTTAATTTAGGTTGTAAAAGCGTTTAATTACATAAGTCTGTAATATTCAGATAACATTGTTACCCCGGTATATAAGTTCTTAAATTTTCGATTCTGGACATATGCGGGTTTATTACTACTTGAATGTACATTGTATAACCTGCTACTGATATTTAATCACGGAACAAAATAACAATGTTAGCACACTATACTTATCATTTATACGGGTTTTGAATAAATCATAAAACAAATTAAGTTCATTGCTTTAAAATCATTATTTCTTGAACTATACTATAAAACCTGTAATATAAATTAATAGACAGTGTGCAGCACAGAAGTCACTTATGAAGTTTACAAGTGCCGGTGTTACTTATCGATGTTTAGTCCATTTCATTGAGTATAATTCTCTCCTTACGATTGGGAAGATTCTGTTTAAACGTTTAAAATTGGTATAGCCATGGTTAATATCTGTGATAAAAAATTATGTTTCGGAAAACTTGTGTTGAAAACGGATTTATTTGTGTGTGAAAAGAGCAAAGCTTGTGCATTTTAATGAATATTGGTTGAAGTAAAGTAACTGCAGATCACCAGTCCTTGCGCTATGAATCATCAAATTACACATGGAGCTAACGAATATTTAAGAACTGAAGACTGATTAATGTACATGTAAAATAAATGCCCCAGCGTTTTGTACTAAAGTCAAACCTAAAACATTTTAAGATATTTTTGAAAGATTTAATTTACTTCGAGAAAATAATATTTTCTTACTGTTGTAGAATGGTTTGTATATACCAATTATTTGCCTATGACTGCGGGGTCAATGGTTCACCGCAGTGTGTCGCTTTAAAATTTCTCGGCCGCGTGTACTCGAGAGATAGATTACGTAATGGTTAACACACTTTGAAAAAAAAATCTTGGTTCCAGGTGAATATGAGAATCGCGCAGTAAATAATTGTGTATTATTTGACTCTTAAAAGTTTTTTTATGAAATCCGGGCGTATATTGTTTCCGTTCATATTGTTTATGTTCATATTTAAACGAATAAAAGATACAAAGGACACGTTTAAAACTTAATTTTAAAAAGAGATATGATACAGCGTGGTAAAATATTTATTACTTACGGCAAGTTTATTTCAATTATACGCATAAAGAGTTCTTCAATATCAAAATGAGAATGGAGCCTTGTTTACGGTGAATACGGATCTAGCTTTCTTTCCTACCATACGTAAGACTCGAACAAAATAATATTTTCATGCATGGGACAGAGATAGTACAAGAAGGAACAATTTTATCAAGAATTAATTTAACCATTCTGTGGTGGTTTTTTTTGTGTATGACTGTGGGTCGCTAGATCACACGCCGATTGATTCCCGCTGACCGACTTTGCCCCGCCGCTATCGAGGGAGGCGCGTTATATAATTGTAAACAAACATGGTGAATGTTAAAGCCGTGCACTTAATGGCTATGAATAGTATATGTGCTTTTTAGTTATGTTTTATTTTCTCACTGTATTGTTTGCTTTTATGTGATAAGAAGAAAAGATGATATTTTCTTCCCTTTTTAGTAGACTTGGTTTATACGATTTTTAAAAAAATGAAATAAAAGGGAAAGTTGTCAGTGAATAAACATGATAATTTGTAAGAAAAAAGCACAAACACTTCGAGAACTTTATTCTGAAGAATATTAGCTTCCAATGTAGCCAAGTTTATTATTTATAGTAAGCTTGCTTTGGTTACACGCATGAGGAGCTCTCGTTTACGTGCTGAGTGAAAATAATTACCTGTGCATATACAGGTCATGCACCAGCTCATTTAAAACAAGACTCGAACACAATTACAATTTCATGAGATCAGTAAGATGTTAAAGCACAACTTTATAATCGATAGTCATTTCGAAATATTTACTGTTTTTGAGTTATAAAGCAAAAAATTTCAAGGTCCCTTGATCCCTAATTATCAATTATTATATGAAAGCCCTTGCAATTATGCATAACTTTTGTTCATTTTGTCTTAACAAAATATTTTTAATTTTCAAGATAAAAAGGAAAATATGTGTAAATTTTCGCTCTTGTAGGCGTTCTAATTTTTGACCCCTATATAGTGCCATTTTGAATACAGAAATGGAAAAACAAAAACCGATGTGCACAACTTCAATCCTTCTGTTTCCTAAAATCAGTAAAAATTCTGCTTCAGCTTTTGTGGTCTCTGAGCCTTTATCCGGATACGAAAGCCTATAAATAAAGGGCTCAAAACCGGAAGTGACTATTATGAAATTTTGCAGCATGAAAAGTTATAACCTCTGAAAATTTGCTGCGAAATCCGTTGAGAAATGATTAATATTACTTATCATTATATACTGTACAAGAAATTTTAGCGAGGATTTAATTTTGGCATTATTGGTGAGGTTGCTGATATCTCTAAAACTGAATATCACTAAAAAATTGTGTTTTATCTTTGTAGTAGGTTTGGGTTCAACATTAATCTTACAAGAATATGTTCATACACTGAATAATTCACTAGGTAACAAACAAACAATAATTCTAAAGAAATATATTGCAAAAATGTGTGACTAAATATTTAAATTTCCACATACATGGTATTTCTTTTTATGTTTATAAATTACTTTTTTTACTGAAACAGTCAAGAACTTGAAATTTTGTGTTCATTTTGCTGTGAGAAGGTTTGATTAAATTTTATATTGTTTAATGTCCCTCTCTCGAGAATTTTTCACTCATATGAATACGTTACCGTATGCAGATGAAGGGCTTCAAATTTATACTTAAACCTGCAGCACTAATGTTAAACATTGAGCAGTGAGAGTTCAGAAAAAATATATAATCGTGCGTAAACGCCTAACTCGACACAGGACCTAGAGAATATTGAACCCATTGTTATTCTGAAATCACAAAGCGAATGCTTACCGCTAAACAGGCTCGCGTGACCGGTTTGAGGAGGTTTGATTAACCGTTTTCATAAAAATTAAGGAAATAACAAAAAGTAAAAAGCAATTTCAATGTCAAACTTTTACATTAGGCAACTAGGTTTTTAAAATTTTCCTTGAGGTCATTGTTATATAACTTGAAATGTTGTCTTACGCGAACATTGGATGCTAAACCTAATGTTCTCTAAAAAGTGATTTACAGTATCTTATAAATACCTTATGTGAAAACACAGCACCTATATCAATTTTATATGGACATCTCTTCTGAATTTCCTTCTCCATTTCTTGCTGATCAGAAAAGGACTGGTATCTTATATACACGTCATCTTTATGAAATAGCTTGATTTAGCTATATAGCTTTATCTGTAAATAATAGTGTTGTACTTGAAAGCTATAAATATATCCATAGGATATGTATGCTCCACCCAGTGCTATATATGTATTGCAGCATGAAAAGTTATTTACTTTGCTGCTTAAGTCTAAACTGATTAATCTTACTTATCATTGTATACTGTACAAGAAATTTTAGCGAGGATTTAATTTTGGCATTATTGGTGAGGTTGCTGATATCTCTAAAACTGAATATCACTAAAAAATTGTGTTTTATTGTAGTAGGTTCAGTAAGTATTTTAACATCGCTAAAATTACATTTCACTAAAAATAAATACTAATTTTTAAGGAAAACTCACTAAATTTGTGTCTCATTTAAATTTCCACATACATGGTATTTTTTCTGCAATACATGGTATTTCTTTTTATGCTTATAAATTACTTTCTTTACTGAAACAGTCAAGAACTTGAAATATTGATTAACATTTTGCTGTGAGAAGGTTTGATTGGATTGTATGTTGTTTAATGTCCCTCTCGAGAATTTTTCACTCATATGGAGACGTCATCGTTTGCCGGTGAAGGGCTTCAAAAGTATTCAGCACTCAGGGGCAATGTTACGTGCCAACGCCTAATCGACACAGGTTGTATTTTTGAACCCAAGCCTCTCAATCACATATATGCATAGTCAAATACGGTTGAGGAGGTTTGATTAACCTCTAAAAACTGATAACAAAAAGTAAAAAGCAATTTCAATGTCAAACTTTTACATTAGGCAACTAGGTTTTTAAAATTCCTTGAACGTGTTGAAACTTGAAATGTTGTCTTATAACATTGGATACTAAACCTAATGTTCTCTCTGTAGTCTGTATACATATCTCTCTGTATATACAAAGTACGTTCTCTATTAGTCTGAAGTATCTAATGTTTTCCAGGCTTTAAATCTACAGAGGTCAGAAAATGCACCAAACTTCTTCTCTCTAGTTTTTCCGTTGCTTTCGAGAGAGTTCAAATCATATGTGAAGCTTTATCTATTTTTTTTTTCAAAATACACCATCAGAAACCAAGCACCTTAATTCACCTACGAAGACCTGGTCACTAGATTACATTTTAAAGAGAATTTTCCGAAACGTTTTTATCTTTTAGTCTAGATAGAGTATCTGTAACTATGTGATAATAATTAGGAAATGAAATATGGGAAAAAATATCGATGTATTTTTATACCAATAGAATATATCTGTAAACAATAACACAAAATAACATTTTAAAATGGTAACTCGTTTGTTTACCTCCTCCATAGTTTAACCATCGGTAGTATAAACCATATGGAAACAACTTTTTGTAGTACATAGGAAGTAAATCTGGTAGAGAAGCTGCATCGTATTTGGAAATATCTGTCATTCTGTTGTCGAATTTGGCGCTAAATTAAGAGTTCTCGAGTTCACTTTCGGGATATCGTAAAAATAGTAAACGTGAAAAATAAAGAAAATAGTCCTCATTAATGTAATATAGAGGTGATTTAATGCGATGAATAGAATACTATGCATTTTATATTAATTTGATTTATTCAAAATATTTTATGAATGTAAAGTTTGCAATTGCACGACAATCAAAAATCGCCCGTTTGAGGTTGGTGTAAACATGGGAAACAGACGAAAATATAACACCTAGGTTTCCATCAAAACAATACCGACGTTTTAATTGTAAAAAGGAGATAAAGTTGTCTTTATTAAGCTCAGGTAAAAGCAGGATAGACTTTCAAGTAATTTTAATATTTATTTATTTCATTAGAGCACTGAAGTAATTAACTTTGTAAGTTGTTTGATTGTCCTACTGTACGTGTTCTATGCACTTGATACATTTTCATTTTTAGCTCTACTGGTCAGAGACCAGAAGAGCTTATGCGATAGTAAGGTGTCCGTCGTCCGTCCGTCTGTCTGTCTGTCTGTCCGTCTGTCTGTAAACAATTTTTCAAAACGCTACTCCTCCTACAGTTTTGGTATGATTTTAATGTAACTTGGCACACTAGTAGACTACACTAAGATACAGGAAATAGTGCATCGGTTTTTGATTTCGATGAACGATGTTGCCATGGTTACCAATAATAGAATTTTCTGAAATTCCTTTAAAACGCTACTCCTTCTACAGTTTTGGTCTGATTTCAATATTACTTGGCACACAAGTAGACTACACTAAGATACATAAAATAGTGCATCGGTTTTTGATTTCGATGAACGATGTTGCCATGGTTACCAATAATAGAATTTTCTGAAATTCCTTTAAAACGCTACTCCTTCTACAGTTTTGGTCTGATTTCAATATTACTTGGCACACAAGTAGACTACACTAAGATACATAAAATAGTGCATCGGTTTTTGATTTCGATGAACGGTGTTGCCATGGTTACTAAAAATAGAATTTTCTGTGAAATTCCTTTAAAACGCTACTCCTTCTACAGTTTTGGTCTGATTTCAATATTACTTGGCACACAAGTGCACTACACTAAGATACATAAAATAGGGCATTGGTTTTTGATTTCGATGAACGGTGTTGCCATGGTTACTAAAAATAGAATTTTCTATGAAATTCCTTTAAAAGCTACTCCTCCTACAGTTTTGGTCTGATGGCAATGACTTCTTTTCTCATCCTTTGTTATAAGTACAAACCAGTAGAGCTACAGTCTCGACAGAGACTTCTGGTTTATGTCAATAATATGAGAGTTTTGAAATGATGCACATTTACGGGACGTATATACTAGGCCTAATTAATAAATACCAGTAACCTTACTGAATAATGAATAAGTTGAAGACAAGAGAATTGATATTGATCTCGAAAAAATCTGAAAACAAAAATCTGTGAACAGCTCGGGCATAAATAAAGCCCCTCCGAAATACAGTCCACAGGTTGGATCAGGTGCTTACAGAGGTTAAGCATTCCTTGTTGCCTGGTCACTCTTGGCGGGGAATTCTTTTCTTTGATCAGATCACAGCTAGGCACCTGAATTTTTAGGTGCCTATGATCAGTTATAGACGGAACTGATTCCGTATACATTGTACAAAGACACGACTTTCACATTAACAAAAATTTTTTCCCTCTGCGGGACAGTCTGGGGTCAATTGACGCAAGGCACTGTTTTCCCTCGATAACATTACCAATTTTCTGTGGCAATGTCCAAGAAATGAAAATCTGTATGAATATGTTCATTATTTTTTTTTTATGTTGACCCATACTATGACAAAAACAGAAACGTATCAAAATTCTCTGATAGGGTTTAAAGATTGAAAATATTTACATATAAGTTACAAATGACAGATTTTCCTGCATGGCGCAGTGGTTAAAGCAGCTGCTTAGAGACACTTAGTAAGGCATTAATCCTTATGTCGCAGGTTGGAATCCCACAGTGGGGCAGTGAGACCGGTCCTTCAGATGAGACCTTGTTGCAGAAGGTGCTGGCACTAAAAAAATCCCTCACTGCTCAATGGCCATAAGTGCTAGTATAGGACAAAATTTGCAGCTCTCCGCTGTCAAGTGGTGGCATTCTTGCACAAGTTTTGACTGATTAGGGTTAGTCTTGCATCCAACCGAGAGATTAGGGTTAGTCCTCACACATGGGTTATGGGTTAATGTAACATGCACTTGGGAGGTAAGTTAGTCCTCGCACATGGTTTATGGGTTAGTCTAACATTTGCTTGAAGATATGGGTTAATCAGTAATTAAGTCCTCACATATCATATGAAAGATTACGGTTAGTGTCTTGTTGTTTAAGTTTAAGTAATTCAGTGGCTTCTGTATTTTTTTTAAAGATCTTTCAAATTCAACTCATTGATTTGTTTGTAAACATGAAAATATGGCTAAGTGCAAAAGAAATGGCACTAAGCATATGCCGCACACATTGAAGCTGCCTATAGCAACACTATATTTTAGCATGTTTTCCTGGGGACTGGTAAAGTAAAGTTTTTGCTACAAATTAGTATAAATACAAAGGCTTAACAATTGGTATGAAATAAGTCAGCCAAAATACTACCCAATGATAGATTATATATGCTAACAAGGTTGTTATAATGACCATCTAATATTTTTGAAATACTGACTAACAATTAAGATTGTTGAAATCTATGTAACACATACTTATCTATGAGTAGCCTGTCTTGGTTTTAAAATTGATTATACTCTGACTATGCTCTTGAGTATTGAATATTGAATAAGTTTGGAATTGTAAACACCATATGCAGGAGATAAGGGAATATTGTAGGGCTATAACGGTTCCATAATTTTTTGGGTCGGGTCGGTTCCAGATTTTTTAGGTTCGGTTTCAGGTTTTTCGGTTCGGGTTTTTAATAGAATAAAAACTCCTGATTTGAATTCTATTCAACAAAACTTTTATTTTTTTTAGCTCACCTGAGCCGAAGGCTCAAGTGAGCTTTTCTGATCACATTTTGTCCGGCGTCCGTCTGTCTGTCTGTCTGTCTGTCTGTCTGTCTGTCTGTCCGTCTGTCTGTCTGTCCGTCTGTCTGTAAACTTTTCACATTTTCGACTTCTTCTCAAGAACCGCTGGGCCAATTTCAACCAAACTTGCCACAAAGCATCCTTGGGTAAAGGGGATTCAAGTTTGTTCAAATGAAGGGCCACGCCCTCATTCAAGGGGAGATAATTGAGAATAAGTGAAAATTTGGTGGTATGTTTTAAAAATCTTCTTCTCAAGAACCACTCTGCCAGGAAAGATGAAACTTATGGGGAAACATCCTCAGGTAGTGTAGATTCAAGTTTGTTCAAATAATATCCCCCGGGGGTAGGGCGGGGCCACAATGGCCAACCAAATTTTTATATAGAAATATATAGGAAAATTCTTTAAAAATCTTCTTCTCAAGAACAGCAAAGCCATGATTGCTCATATTTATATGGAAGCATCCCCAGGTAGTGTAGATTCAAGTTTGCTCAAATCATGACCCCCGGGGGTAGGGCGGGGCCACAATGGCCGACCAAAGTTTTATATAGAAATATATAGAAAAATTCTTTAAAAATCTTCTTCTCAAGAACAGCAAAGCCATAATTGCTCATATTTATATGGAAGCATCCCCAGGTAGTGTAGATTCAAGTTTGTTCAAATCATGTCCCCTGGGGGTAGGGCGGGGTCACTATGGCCGACCAAATTTTTATATTGAAATATATAGGAAAATTCTTTAAAAATCTTCTTCTTAAGAACAGCAAAGCCATAATTTCTCATATTTATATGGAAGCATCCCCAGGTAGTGTAGATTCAAGTTTGTTCAAATAATATCCCCCGGGGGTAGGGCGGGGCCACAATGGCCAACCAAATTTTTATATAGAAATATATAGGAAAATTCTTTAAAAATCTTCTTCTCAAGAACAGCAAAGCCATGAGAATAATTGGAGGTATTGCTCATATTTATATGGAAGCATCCCCAGGTAGTGTAGATTCAAGTTTGTTCCAATCATGTCCCCCAGGGGTAGGGCGGGGTCACTATGGCCGACCAAATTTTTATATTGAAATATATAGGAAAATTCTTTAAAAATCTTCTTCTTAAGAACAGCAAAGCCATAATTTCTCATATTTATATGGAAGCATCCCCAGGTAGTGTAGATTCAAGTTTGTTCAAATAATATCCCCCGGGGGTAGGGCGGGGCCACAATGGCCAACCAAATTTTTATATAGAAATATATAGGAAAATTCTTTAAAAATCTTCTTCTCAAGAACAGCAAAGCCATGATTGCTCATATTTATATGGAAGCATCCCCAGGTAGTGTAGATTCAAGTTTGTTCCAATCATGACCCCCCGGGGGTAGGGCGGGGCCACAATGGCCAACCAAAGTTTTATATAGAAATATATAGGAAAATTCTTTAAAAATCTTCTTCTTAAGAACAGCAAAGCCATTATTGCTGATATCTATATGGAATCATCACCAGGTAGTGTAGATTCAAATTTGTTCAAGTCGTGACCCCCAGGGGTAGGGCGGGCCACAATGGCCGACCAAAGTTTTATATAGAAATATATAGGAAAATTCTTTAAAAATCTTTTTCTCAAGAACAGCAAAGCCATAATTGCTCATATTTATATGGAAGCATCCCCAGGTAGTGTAGATTCAAGTTTGTTCAAATCATGTCCCACGGGGGTAGGGCGGGGTCACTATGGCCGACCAAATTTTTATATTGAAATATATAGGAAAATTCTTTAAAAATCTTCTTCTTAAGAACAGCAAAGCCATAATTTCTCATATTTATATGGAAGCATCCCCAGGTAGTGTAGATTCAAGTTTGTTCAAATCATATCCCCCGGGGGTAGGGTGGGGCCACAATGGCCGACCAAAGTTTTATATAGAAATATATAGGAAAACTCTTTAAAAATCTTCTTCTCAAGAATAGCAAAGCCATAATTGCTCATATTTATATGGATGCATCCTCAGGTAGTGTAGATTCAAGTTTGTT